ATATCTGAGAGCAGCGGAAGTTGGCTGAGAAATGTGCTACACTCACACCTCAGTCTGTTCTCAGATCCAGACAGCGAAGAGGGCCTACCGCACATTTACTGCACTCACGTTACATTGAGGCTGCTGCTCTACGCCAGATTATTTCAGTATTTGCGATATCTGAGAGCAGCGGAAGTTGGCTGAGAAATGTGCTACACTCACGCCTCAGTCTGTTCTCAGATCCAGACAGCGAAGAGTGCCTATCGCACCTTTACTGCACTCACCCTGCTTTGAGGGTGCTGCTCTACGAGATTACTTGAGAATGGTGATATCTGAGAGCAGCCGAGGATTGTAGATCATTACCGGAACTCAGATAAGAACGGTTTCACTCAGCTTGGTGTGTGGAGCAAACTCAACGGCAGAGCAGCGCCAATTACCTCGGTAATGCGATTTTAGTCCGATGGTCATCGGATTGTTCCTTAAATAGTCCTGGGCCGGTTATGCAGCAGGGACAAACCCGAAAGCTGTCCGTCGGCTGACGACCGAAAGACACTGTCAGAAATCATACAATCAATACACAATGTAACTATATCGGTAAATTCCCAGTTGTTGTAAGACAACTAAGAGAGCGAACCAGACGCCCGAAGATACCAATGATAACTTTAAAACACGGACCTGCAGCACCTGTGGTTTGAGGTACCACATACTGTTATTAAAATACATCAACTTTACAGAGTGTTCTGTACCCTTTGCACACCCTATCGTCAATTCTTTATTACAATGAAGTGGACATGACTGCGCACGCGAGGCTTTGTGCCGTGCGCAGACGCATCTTACCGCCGGCTGCATAGGCAACCCACCACCCCGCACAGCGCCGCGCTGGTAGGCAACCCAGTCAACATCGAGCCAGGCGGCGGAGGGGCTGATAGCGGCTGATGCCTGCAAATGCACACCTCGGCCTTCTCGGTTGTAACTTTTTTGAAAGTGATTCCTCGAAAACGAGACCAACAAACAACACAAAACAATGTGA